ATCATATATTTGATTCCTCTCTAATTCCCTGGTAAAATTTATAACGCATTCTAGAAGACTGAAATTAAACTTGCCTCCCGAGTACTCATACACGGAAAACAGAACAGTTGGTGATTAGAACAGATTTGAAAACAAGTACTTTGCTAAGCAAGTCTTCATAGAAGGAATGCTCGAAAAGAGATCTCTAATTGCAGAACAATTTTCATAAATCAATCAAACTTACGATCAGGTGTACCAGTGGAAACTCAGAGCTATCTATAATTTGTCATGAGTGGAGAATAAAAGGCCGTATGGAAGCAGAATGATGAATCTAAAACCATTAACAGACTGATCTTTATTATGAAACTTTTTTTTTGTAAAGGGTGCATTTCATAAAATTTTAATAACGATAAGCAATTCATCAAAATTTCATTGTATATGTACTGTATCATCCACTACTGATTCGATCGTAAGCTCTATAGAGCAGGGAATTTTTTTAGTTTGCTGGTATTTTTACCTGGAATCTTAATTCGGTCCATGGATTATAAAAATATTCTGTACTGACCCATTGGGCTTAGGATTTCATTTCAGCAACAGCAATGGCGAAACGTTCCTAAATATTAATTTCCATGCAGTTTAACACTAACTGAGGGTCCCTGGCAACCCACCGCCTGGCCCGTACTGGAGGTGTGGCTAAGGCAGAGATTACACACTTTCTGAGGAGTTTGCTGCCTTCTTTACCAACAGCGTGTCATTTATCCATTCTAGCATACCATCATCATCAACGAAAACTCTAATAGGACCCAAATACTAATTCAATCTCACTGGAAAAGCTTTGATAATGTTGAGGAAAACAACATTATACAAACAATAAAAAATAAAAAAAGCTGAGTGACACAACTTGCAATCTGGATCCTGGAGACAGACCGACACACACACACGCACACACACACTGCCTATCTCACACACCCACTGTCCAATCTCACAAACCCATTATCCCCTATCACACACTCACAGGACCCAACACACACTGACTGCACCCCCCACACACACACTGCACTGCTTACACACAGCGCCCCTCACACACACAGCGCACCCTCTCACACACTCACAGGACCCATCACACACTCACAGCACCCTTCACACACTGCACTGCTCACACGCAGCGCCCCTCACACACCGCACCCTTCACACAAACACAAAAAATCTCCTTTGTAAACAAATTTGCACTTGCACTAAAAAAATTGTTACTGCAACACTGGTGGGCGGTAAGGACATGTTGTCATCAATGAAGATACAAAAATGGATGGTAGGTATTAAAATGTTGACTATCCGGGCTCTACATGATCAGGGACCAAGCTATCTAAAATAACTATTGGTGCCCTATGTCCCAACTCGCACTCTTTCCTCAGTGCATGCTGGAGGCTTACTGTGCCAAGAATTCTACAAAACTGTGGTTTACAGGCTTTTAGCCACGTTTCCCCATCTCTATGGAACCCTCACCCTATCACAGTGAAAGAAGCCATCTCCCTGGACATTTTTAAACAAAGACTCAAACTTTGAGTCCAATGTGGAGATAAGTGCTTTATAAGTTATTATTTTTATTAACATAGAAAATTTAATATTTTACAGGCACAGACATTGATATAGTCAATATGACATGTAGTGGAGCCTCTGTATCCCGACTGGATACTTCCGCTAGTTTCTCCTCTCTGCTGGAATCAGGAACCGTTAGTGTTTATAGCCCCTTTCCCCAGACATGAGACGACACATGATGCTCGGAAGAATAACTGGTTTTATTGCACACAATGTAGCCTGGGGTCTCCATTCACGATACAGCAAAATCTGCTAAGGTGCCTCTGGGAGATAATTGTGTCAATGCTCGCTAAACTAATTATCTCCCGGATACAGAGAGCCAAGCACACAAAATCCCCTTAAACAGAGTTATAACTTTCCCTAACCCCACATGTTATACAACCCCAAAGAGCTCTTGTTGGAATGCCCAATCTGGCCAAAAAGCTCCATGATCCGTGGAGGTTTGGGGGAACGCCACCCCGTTAAAGTTTGGACCGGCTAGAACAGTCATAACCATAAAACAGTTCCAGTTGTTTACAGTCATATGCTGGTGTTTTAGCAGGGTCTCTGGCTGGCCAAGGCAAGGGGGCTCCCACTGGCTCACAGGTAGCGATTTTTCCCCCTGATGGATTGTAACTCCCCTCCAAATAACACTCTCATTTGACTTTGGGAAAGAGGTAAAAACCGGAAAGGGAAAGAAACAGGTCCGGAAGGGTGTTCTCTGTGTATAGGCTGTATACGCACTTAAGAGAGGCACATGCTGGGGAACATGTAGGGCACGAAGGGAGCCAGAAGAGTCTTTAATGAGTCTTGAACAGTAGGTTTGGTGGAATCCACCACATAGCATACAATATATACACTGATCATCCACAACATTAAAACCGCCTATAAATGAAAAAACAAATGATTCACACCAACAACAGATAAAAACAAAAAGGATAAAATAACACAAGTCCTAATTACTCACTTAAGTTTTCAAAGTAAAACTGCTTCTCTGAAACTGCTATGTTTACAGCTGCAGGGTTAAAACCTGGGGGACCTGACACCCGGAATACTTCATTCAGCTGAAGTGGTCTGGGTGACTATAGTGGTCCTATAAGCTATACACAATTGATATAAAAGTATTATTTGGTATTATTTGAACTTTATGCACTTCACTTTTATTAGTTTGGTTCTATTTTGGTTTTTTTTCGAGGAAGATAACACATTACAGTGTGATATGGGCCAAAGTTTAAATAATAGTACTTAGTATATGCACTTTAGTAAATGTATCTTATTGTATTATATAGTACTTTATATTTTAAGCACATACCTCTGTGCCCATCCATTCACATCTCTGTGAATTTCAGACGTGTGGTTTGTTTTTTTGACATAGCAAGAAAGAGCAGGATACCTTCTCATTAGAGTCTTGAATCCCTGCTTACTGACAATGACAGCTGCTACCAGACGCTTCCCAAATATCCTGCCAATTTTTGTTTTAAAGACGGTATGTTTAAGTCCAGCAAAAGGAACACATCATTAAAAACAAACAGCATGAGAACATGTACAATACATTTAACAATTTTTTAAAAGCTACAATAGAATGGTCAGCAAATTATCCATCCTTCTTAAATTATCAATAATAGACTTAACTAGCTCTATGACTGTAAGTGAATCATGCAACCCGAGAGCTAACACAGCTCGGCACCCCGATGCTGTGAATTTAATCTAATTTCTTTTACCTGGTGGTGGTTTGTGGAGCATTGACAAACTGATCCTGCTATGAAATAATCTAGAAATATCCCAACAGTCTTATTAATGTGTTCAAAACAAAGTTTTGACTTTATATAAAAAGATAAAAATAAAATAACAACTTCATGTATGCCTATGTCAACAAAGGTATCCTTAAAGTGCATAAATCGATTCGTCAACTTCAAATTAGTTACAAAGTTGTCCCTGCTTCACCTAATTCCTGGACTCCTAACTCACTGAACTATGGCGTGGACTGTGTGAATCGCTACTTATACCAGAGTATATTCCAAACCAATTTATAGAATTTTAGTTAAAAGGACACGATGGTCACCAGAACCACTACAGCTTAATGTAGTTGTTCTGGTGTCTATAGCCTGTCTTTTCAATGTTAGCACTGTAAACACTGCCTTTTCAGAGAAAGGGTAGTGTTTACAATGTTGCCTAGTAACACCTCTAGTAGCAGTCACTCAGACAGCCACTGGAGGTATTTCCTAGTCCACAGTGTGCAGCACTGGCATTCAGCGTCTCCATGCTCTGCATGGAGACGCTGAATGTTCCCCACAGAGAGGCATTGAGTCAATCCATCTCTATGAGGAGATGCTGATTGGCACAGCATGGCATTTTGCTGCGTATGCACAATTGCCTCCTAATGTTTTCCTAAAGGGATGCATTGGACTGGCTAAGATATTCAGGATTGATGATCTCAGCGATGGAGGCTGGTCCAGCCGCAGCAAGACCAGCGCAGTTTGGGAGAAAAGCTGAGTAAAATCATCTTTTTACTGCACAGAAAGACAGCCGGTCACCTAAATAGCCACTTCAGCAGTATAGTGTCAGAAATATATGTTTGTATTCCTGACACTATAGTGTTCCTCTAACATTTTATTTATATTTAATGACAGGCAATTTTGGCTTTTTCTCTTATTTCATCTCCATGTGCAGTGACTGCAAGATATTTTCTGAGAAAAAGAGAGTGATTTTTTTTTTGTACTAACAAAAACGCGCACGCAGGAGGCTGCTTCCCATCAGAGATTGTGTTGAATGCATTCACTTGAATGGAGGTTGTCAATCACCCGCATTAAAGGGAAATAAAGAAAAAAAATATTGTGAATCATTCCAGTGACAAGAGGGTATATCTACCATACAGTCCGCAAAGTGTCCCAAATATGTCCTATTATACAACAACAAAGAAAGCCACCTCCTGGCTGTGATGAAAAGATAGTCTTTTGTTTGTTAGACAGCATTGTTACGCTACAATTTAAGCATCAGAAAGGTTACTGTAAATATTGTTTTCACTATCTGCCGATCAAAGTGTTAACATTTATTCTAAAATTCTCAACACTGATTAGTTGCCTCTCCATCTGTCTCTCTGTATTTCTGGCAACAGAATGGTAACATTATTTTAGAATTGTCCTAATAATAATGCCACCTGTCAGTGATGGACAACCCATTTTGGCACCCCAGATGTTTCCGAATTATATTTCTCACAATGCCCTTGGACTGGCTGGGCAATGTCTGGTTAAGTGAAGTTAAGTTGGCTACTTTAGATACCAGGGCATCTTGCAGCTTCATTTAAAAAATATTTAAGCGGGGCGAGGCCGGACCGCCGAGCTGGACGGTCGCACGTAAGACCAGCTCCAGCAACTACAGACTAACTAAGCTATAAAACCGGATGGAGAGCACTAAAACCAGGGTGAGGCTGGCCCAACGGGTTTCAGCCCCCTGAGGAAGAATCCTTACTGGCACAACGAGGCCTACTCCGGCGGTGAGCGGGGCAGACGGCCGCTGCCCTGCTGTCCCGCCAATCGGTACTCAGCCAAGAGCCAGACCCGCGAGGAACCCGGTCCTCACCCTCGAGCCCCGACCACCACAATGCACCCAAGGTGCCGCAGCAAGGGTGCCCTGACCCGCAATGGAAACAGTGTAACTAAGATGGCGGAGGCCACATGTGCGGGCGCTGAAACCAGAAACAACTTACTTACCCGCAGTGGCAGCAAACAAGACAGATTGAAGGCACCGGCAGCACAGACCACTACTGCAGCCATCCACCCGCAGGCACCCCCGCGTTTAAATGAGCCACACAGCCTGGATAAGACCGCGACAGGCAGCGAAGAGGGAGGCTTAACAGGCAAACACAAGCCACACAGAACAGACCACAGGATCCTGAACCCCAACTTGTCATTACCCTGGCACACTGAGATCCAGAGGTACCCTGCCAGGAGCCACACACTACCCATGGTCTGCCGCACAGTTCCCACCAGGTGACCCCAACGGAATCACACCACACATGGGCAGCCGACCTGCGGCGGGAACACGCTGAGCCCAAAGAAAGATTACCGAGAGACATGTGAGGACTAGTGATGTCCTGAACGGTTCGCCAACGGTTCACCACGAACGGTTCGCCACGGACTCATCATTGAGTAAACTTTGACCCTGTACCTCACAGTCAGCAGACACATTCCAGCCAATCAGCAGCAGACCCTCCCTCCCAGACCCTCCAACCTCCTGGACAGCATCCATTTTGAAGCTGCATTCTTAGTAAGCTGTCCAGGAAGTGGGAGGGTCTGGGAGGGAGGGTCTGCTGCTGATTGGCTGGAATGTGTCTGCTGACTGTGAGGTACATGGTCAAAGTTTACTCAATGATGAGTCCGCGGCGAAAGGTTAAGAGTACGTTAACCTTCAAACTCGACATGCCCTAAATATCCCTTATTACTTACCCTGAAATTAACTTCTCCCAAACCCTAAACGAATCTGTTCCTTAGTCACAAATTGTTCCCAATATTAAATGTAACCCAACTCTTACCCTACACTCAATGATTCAAGACAACACTTATACCACAACATTAACCCCTCTTAAGCTTTAAATCCTCTTAACACTAAACAACTTATGCAAAAGAATTCTGACATTAACCCCTCTCTAACCCTAAACAAGTAAAGGATGTCCAGGTTGGATGTAACCGACATTGATAATCAGAAGTGTTATTAAACGCAGTCAAGGAGGGGGCACTCTCTTTGCCGAGAAGTTACTCTCTCAGTCCACACACCTCTTAGGACACTCTCTGACATAGGAACACTCACATTTCCTCTGCGCTCTGACATACAGAAGGCTTAGGAAGATTACACCCTACTGGGTCACACAGAATATAGGAGAAAACATCAATAACACCGTACTGTCTAACACCAAACAACGCGTATCTAAGCCTTAACTACTAGCAGAAACACACCGCAGACACGAAAGACATGACTCTTAATGCACCAAAGGCTTAGAGTATGTTATCGTTACTTTACTGTCATCTCTCATTCTTTCAGCGATATAATGTGTGACATCATCAGCAATGTTAGCCTAACGTTAGCACTCTTGCCTAAAATAGCATGATCAATGTGGGATGCTTAGTTGTTACTCTATTATATTTTATGTTTTAGACCTATACTCTTATATTATACATGTTCTCCACAACGAAGTTTAAATAAATAAATAAATAAATAAATAAATAAAAAACAAGGCCACTTACCTCAGGATTCTATCTGTATTCTATCTGACAACATGTATACAACAACTATGTGTTGGTATTATTATTTATTGTCCTTATGTGTGATTACCATTTAAAGATACCAAATAAGGTAGATATCAACTAAAAAGCCCTTTAATTTGGATCCTTTAATATGGCAATGCCACAAAAGGGTACCGATTTAGGAAATTATCTACTGAACAGCAAAAGATCAAAATTAAGAATAGCTTGAGATCACGTAATTTGATTAATCGGAATAATCAAAAAATATATATTGAATGGAATGTGTACAACTGAACTGCTCAATGGATCAAATTCGATTCAGCTGAATGTTTTTTTTCAATTCAGATGAAGCGATTCAGACTATAAAAATATTTCGCACATGCACAAGTCCCGTGATGCCATCATTTTTTTTAATTTACAGGTTTTGTCCACAGATGTCATTGTAAGGGGAAAAGCATCACACAAAAAATAATAACAATTGGTGGAGGCAGTGGGATATGATTTTTTTTTTATCACTTTGATCTTGTAATGTTACAAGACTATGAATTCCTCTGGGCAACATTTCAATCCTCATTATGCACACCAGTGCCTGTCACACACTCAATGACATTGAGGTATTGCTGGAAGTAAAGGCAGTATATCCTGAATAAGCGATTTGCAGAAAACCTTAGGTATGAGCTTTTTCCAGAATTTTTACCTCATCTGTCACTTCTTATAAAAAATTTCCTGAAGACTGTAGTCTTTTCATTTTGTTGTTTGCATCACATTTACAATTCACTGTGGCAGTCTCTGTCCCCTGAGCAAATTTCCATCATCAGCTTATCTGGCAACTTGAAATCGACTGATCAGTGCAGAAAAGCAGTTTATATTTTATTTTTCGCCTAAATTGTTCATGATTTTATCACAGTGTATGAAAAATATGTGCCGTTCTCAAATAGGAAAATAGTAATTTTAACCCTGAGTGCTTACTAACGTAGAGACTGCTGTATTGCAGGCCAGAACTGAATGTTTTTAATAATAATATAACAAGAATAGAAATTATACATTTTTATTGGTTTTCTAATTAACCCTTTGTTATTTAATGATAGATCCGCTTTTTCGTAAATTAAATTGAAGTTTGTTGTCTGCAGAATTGGTTTAAACAGCATGTGAATAGTAATATAAAGTTGGGGTTTGTGTTTTCATGTGTCTATAGAAGTTACCTTTAGGAGCACGCCACAGAAGTCCCTGCTATCTATAGAAACTTTGTACGTTAGACATTGTGTTGTAGCTTTATCTAGTTCTGTTCATGACAATTCATGAACTAAGCCAGGAGAAGGATGATAGCTTTTGTAATGTAGGGCAAGCGCAAACTAATGGACTGACTAGACCTCGAGAGTATTAAGATGATGGACCACCACCTCATGCACAATCTCACACAATTCTGGGCCTGCAATTCTGGAAAAAGCCTGCAGTCTTACTTTAGGGTACTCTGCCAACAGACATTCCAATACATCCCCTACTACTTTTAGTCACAAGAAGGTGATATAAGATGGCAGCCCACAACTTTTTTTGGTGAATGGAATACCTGCCAAGTACCAGTCTTCATATTTGAAAACTGCTGTGTTTTTTTTTTTAAGTAATCAGCTTGTAAATCTTGCAAAGACCCTTGCAAAGACGCTTGCAAAGACCCCAGGTGGTGACTGCTGTGCTCGCTGTGTGGTGGCCAAGTGGTGCAAGGGAAGATAGTATTTATACTTACGTAAACCTGTTCCTCATGAGGTTCTCTTCAACTCCCGATGCTTCACCTGCCAGAAGCCAAAATCAGCTAGTGTTGCGGCTCCCGGCCCGCCGCATGGCACAGCCATGCCTGACCGGCACGACCTCGCTGATATTGGGAGCTTACCTGCTCACCGGCAAGCCGGGAACCGCTCCTCCACGTCTTCTGGGTGTTGCGCCCAAATCAAAGATGGCGCTGACCACGTGGTTGCGCACACTACCCTCTGACCAATCAGAGCCCACAGAGGGATATTTAAATCCCTAATTCACTCCTGTTCCTTGCCCTGTCGTGGTTTCCTGTTCCTGGTTCCCGAGAGTGCGTTTATCTTTGTGAATATTACTTCCTGGTATCCTGATCTTGGCTTTTCCCTGGTTATTCCGAATTCTGGTTCCCCTGACTTGGCTTGTTTCAACGGTATCTGAGTATTTCGGGCTTCCTTGACCTCGGCTTTCCATTTGACCATTCTCTATCTCTAGCGTATTAGTCCGGCCATTCTAAGGTCCGGTTTACCCTCTGTCCTTTTATTTCCTTTCCTTCTTTATGTATATTGTAACGGAGCTCCTTGTACTCTGACTGAGTACCCTCCGTTGACGGATGCCCCTAGCGCTTCCTGAGGACTCCAAGCGCTGCAGCAGACACCACAACCACCGCAGACTCCGCAACCGCCGTATCTTGACTGGAGTCTCACCGTCTTCCTTCCACCCTGGATCAGCTTCTGTCCTCCAGGACTGTGTGGGAAAGAACTCTTCCTTCCACCCTGTATGAACCTCCAGCATCCAGGACTGTGTGGTGAAGACCCCTCCTCCAAGGAGAGCGTGTCAGGAACAAGCTCTTAAAAGAGCTAAGTGACTCAAGCTCAGGGGAGCATGCAGAGCATAGCAATCCCCAGTGTGATTATAACAGCTCCCTCCAATAACGAGCTACAAGGGATCAAGAAGAACTGTCAAAACCTTTATTTCCCTTGGGACCAGCCAATAGGGTCACCACAATAACATTGTTGTGAAACCTCAATAAAATCACAAACAGTCAAACCATATCAAGCAACACACAGTGACTTATCACAACACAATGGCACATTTTTAAAGGGGTGGGGGGAGACAATATTTAACAGTAAATATCTCACCTGCCTGCAGAATTAGCAATATGCAAATCTACCTGAATATGCAAATGAACCAGTCTTGCAATTCAGGTAGTGCATATTGCTGTTGCTACCAACAGAGGGCACTAGACAAACTCCATAGCCAAACTCACCTAGTTGGTAGCAAACCTCAGCAATAGAAGAGAGCAGGCAATACATTACACAGTACATACACACACACTATGAACAATTACATTACACACACCCTGCACCTATAATGGGTACAGGGTGACTAAAACATAAGATAAATAAAGCAGACTACATAAATAGTCTGTCTGAAGGTAGAATAGGGGCTTTAAAGCCAAATACATCAAAGAGTCATAGTCACAGGGGAGGAGGCTGGCAAGCAGGCCTCTCCAGTACCAAGTGGTCTGTGTGTTGGACCACACTAGCCAGGGCCGTCTTTAACGCGGGGCAAACGGGGCAGCTGCCCCGGGCCCAGTTGCTCCTGAGGGCCCAGAGCAGCTGCTCTGTGGGCCCCGCGATTTGCGCAGCCCCTGTGGACCGGGCGTTGCGGCTCCCGCACACTGATGAGGCTCCCCGGGTGGCCCATGCACTAAGGGCCACCCGGGGAGCATGTGTCAGCAGGGGCCTGGTCGGGCGCTGTGGCGCTTAAACAGCGCGACCGGGCCCCTCTTCCGGTTCTACAGCCGGCTGGGAGGAAGTGACGTCACTTCCTCCCACCGGAGATAGCCGCGCGGGAGGAGGAAGGCAGGGAGGAGGGGAGTTCTAGAGGAGAACTCCCATCTGCCTCAGCCTGCCACTGGACCAGGGAAACCACCCTCCAGAAAAAGGTAA